AGAAACAAAGTGATTTAACTCCTAAATGACAGTGAATTGAGCAGTGAGATTGCAGGGGAATGATCTATACACTAAAACTGCTTTATTTAGCTAAAGTAATTTAGGTGACTATAGTGTTCCTTTAAAATTTCAATGTTTTGATTTGCACAGAATAAACAAGTTAACTATTATTTAAATGTGTGCTCTAAAAAACTCCATGTTCCCACTTATCATTTAAGCACCAATATACAAAACAGAGCGACAGATATAGTTATAGTCACCAAAACAACTTTACATTAATGAAGCAGTTTTGGTGTATATATAATGTCCCTGTAGTCTCACTACTTAATTCTCAGCCATTTAGGAGTTGTCACTTTGTTTATGGAACACTAGTCACACCTCCCTGCATGTAACTTGAACAACCTTCCTAAACACTTCTGGTAAAGAGTCATCTAATGTTTGCGCTTCCTGTATTGCAAATTCTGTTTAATTTACAATTTCTTATTTCCTGCACTGTTCATAGTTTGCTAGACCCTGCAGGAGGCTCCTGTGTGCAATCAAAGTTCAATTTACAGTGCAGGAGATAAAAAGTTAGTTACATCTGATTGAAATTGAAACCATTATTTTGCATGCAGGTTGTGTCAGTCACAGCCAGGGGAGGTGTGGCTAGGGTTGCATCAAATGAAACAAAAGTGATTTAATTCCTAAATGGCAGAGAATTGAGCAGTGAGACTTTAGAAGCATGATCTATACACCAAAACGGCTTCACGAAGCTAAAATTGTTCTAGTGACTATAGTGTCCCTTTAATATGATAAACATGTCTATTATTTAACACAGATGGATGTATGGTAGTAATATGAAAACCAAATTGCAAATTTAGAAAAAATATCTGCTTGGTAAAATAAAAAAAACTTCAAATATAATATCAACATAGCTTTACTATTTGTTATACTTTTTATACCTGATTTTTAATTAATTATGATTTGGTATTTTCTGATCATACTTGGCTTTTTTGCAGACTGTAACTACTAAAGCTGCAATACTTAACTATGACCACTAGAGGTCATAAGACAACCATGTCTTTCTCCAAACTTTGCCATTTAAAACACATTGAATTCCAATTCAGAGTAATTTCAAATTTAAGGTTTAAAATAGGCAAAATGGAACATTTATCTTATGCTTCAGCTACTCATTCAGACACACACACACACACACACACACCCGCATTCAGACACACACATAGACTTACAGGCACATACACATTCAGACACACACATAGACTTACAGACACATACACATTCAGACACACACATACACTTACAGACACACACAAATTATTAATATTAAATGTCCACCCAGCCTCCCTACCTGGCAAAATGAAAATGTCCTATTTCTATGTGAAATGTTGGGTGGCATAACCTTTGAATTATATATATTTGCCTATTCAGCAGTGAAAACACTAATTCAAAGTTCAAAATCTATACAATTCATAAAAATTATATATATATATATATATATATATATATATATATATATATATATCTTCATTAACACATTCTATGATTAAAAATCATTTTGATTGTCCTGACACTCAAATGCTTAAATAGAAGAATAAGGAGAATTATACAGTGACATTTAAAAAGGTTTTAACAGTAGACAAATGGAGAGCTGGTTTCATAGTGATTGGTTTACTATGATAAAGGAAGATGTTTTTTAGTGAATGCCACTCTGGGCAAAACCTTTCACGTGATGTGCTACCCCTGGGACTTAATAATTATTATTCAAAGAGTGGACAGAAAGGTATTTTTATAAGGAGAAACTATAAGGTAGACCATAACCAGGCCAAACGATTTGTCCTTAACTACTCAGGGGACACTTATTGTTTTATCAATTTAAAAAAAAAATATTTGATTGAATGTTTATGATTTGCCATACACTACTAATGTATGTATCTGTCCAATATCATCTAGGTTTCAGGTTCACTGTAAATTTCAAAATAGCTTATTAGCGCCTAATGTGCTATTTTGGGGGGATTTTCTTTAAAATGAAGACACAATAATATTTAATAACAGGTATAACTCAACCGCAAAATCTCTTCACAGAAATCCATAGAAACTACTGTTCTGTTTGCAGCTATAATTGACGGGTTACTCTAGCCAAAAACTGCTTTAAAAAAACCCAAAACATTATTCTTGGCTCTCCCTTTTTAAACAGTTTGTGTCCAGGTTCTGGGAGACACTAGTAGGCTCCACCTAATTTGAGTGCATTTCTACACATCTATTTATATTATCTCTTACATTAAATATACTACACTTAATTGGTGTTTTTTCCTAATTATTTTGCATGCACCCCAGACCACCCATTACTGGACCCAGAGATATGCCATACGTCTTAGCATTATACCGCCAAGTCGCACATAAATAGAGCTGATAGATGTAGGTGTATCTCATCTCCTTTTTTGGCATACTACACGATATACCTGTTGCATTTTCTTTTTGTCTCCAAGCATACTTACCAACATCTGTGAACTTTTAAGATGCTACTCCCTTTTCCTCTTTTGTGCTATTTTGGGCTGTAGTAATACAATAATGATAAAAAAGAAAAATAGATTTACCTGCGGTCTTACAGGCCATGTTCTTCCTGCAGCTCAACTCCACTCTGGTGTTGACACTTCCACTCAATGCAGGAGAGGAGCATCCCAGAGAATGGGCTTAGTGGAGGACTTGACCGGCAGGAAGGCCATTGGTTGTCTGTTGCCACCATGTTATCGTGACCATGACAGTGCTGCAGGTGGAATTAGAATTCCAGCAGCAAGATGCATTAACTTTGTATGTCCGCAACTATCGCAGTGCCAAAGGCAAGCTATCGGTAGATAGATGTTATAGTTACACAAACTCAAATACTAACGACTACAACCGAAAGTCTTAATCACCTTGAAATAGTAAACCTTAAAGGAGCACTATATGGTCAGGAGCACATACATGTATTCCTGACCCTATTGGGTTAAAACCACCATCTAGCCCCCCTGAGGCCCTCATGCCTTCATAAATATAGCAAAATCTTAAGGTATTCAAGCCTAAAGCTGTAGCTCTGTATGCTGTTTGCCTCAGAAAAACAAGCAGTCTGCTGACATCATCAGAAGTTTTACACCCTAAATGGTAGTGAATGAGGGATAACCACACACGAGAAGAATTTGGGAATTGTTATAGATAATAAATTAGGCAGCAATATGCAATGTCAATCTGCAGTTGCTAAGGCCAGTAAGGTTTTGTCATGTATGAAAAGGGGCATAAATTCTCGGGATGAAAATATAATTTTGACTCTTTATAAATCGCTGGTAAGACCACATCTTGAATATGCTGTGCAATTTTGGGCGCCTGTTCTAAAGAAAGATATCATGGCACTAGAAAAAGTCCAGAGACGAGCTACAAAATTGATAAAAGAAATGGAGCATTTTAGTTATGAAGAAAGTTTAAAAAATTTAAATCTGTTTAGTTTGGAATAATATGATAACATTATACAAATATATTCGGGGCCAGTACAAACCTTTATCTGGAAATCTATTCATAAACAGGGCTATACATAGGACACACGGTCACAAATTTAGGCTGGAAGAAAGGAGATTTCATCTAAGGCAAAGAAAAGGTTTTTTTTTTACAGTAAGAGCAATACAGATATGGAATTCTCTGCCTGAAGAGGTGGTTTTGTCAGAGTCATTACAGATGTTTAAATAGCAATTGGATAAATACTTGCAAAAACATACCATACAGGGATATCATTTCTAATTAGTGGGGTAATAGCTGCTTGATCCAAGGAGACATCTGACTGCTATTTTGGGGTCAAGAAGGAATTTTTTCCTAGTTTGTGGCAAAATTAGAAGCGCTTCAGGCTGGGTTTTTGCCTTCTTTTGGATCAACAGCAAAAACATATGTGAGGAAGGCTGAACCTGATGGACGCAAGTCTCTTTTCAGCTATGTAACTATATAAGTGGTAGCCTGATTCAATCACAATGCTTCTCCATAGGATTGGTTGAGACGTTCAAGGAGGCAGATCAGGGGCAGAGCCAGCACAATTCAAACACAGCCCTGGCCAATCAGCATCTCCTCATAGAGATGAATTGAATCAATGAATCTCTATGAGGAAAGTCCAGTGTCTACATGCAGAGGGAGGAGACACTGAATGTTTGGATGCATTTTAGGCAGCCATGACCCAGGAAGGATCTCTAACAGTTATCTAAGGAGTGGCCAGTGAAGTTATCACTAGGCTGTAATGTAAACACTGCATTTTTTCTAAAAAGACAATGTTTTCAGCAAAAAGCCTGAAGGCAATGATTCTACTCACCAGAACAAATTCAATAAGCTGTAGTTGTTCTGGTGACTATAGTGTCCCTTTAAATAAAAAAACAGAAATAATTTTAATGTATTATCCAAAGGGGAACTGTGGACAGTCAGTTGTTTTATAAGTAAGTGGAACTATAGAAAACTATCCAATTGTTTATTTGAATCTCTAAAAAAAAAAATCTGTTTCTGCTTTTATCCCAACTTCAGTAAATCACTTTCAGATTTCAAGCAAAAATAACTTGTTCCTTAAAAATCGCTCAATACAATTGATTTAGATCTTTTGCACAAAAGTACAATTATATACTTTATATTAAACTTTTATCAGTAGACAGTGTTTTCCAAATGTTTTGTTAAGCTTCATTATATATTGAGAAGTTCCCCAACAAAAATACATTTTGACCACATGACTTGGACTACAAATATTATATGTAAAAAAATTAATTAGAATTAACAAATCTGTCTGACAGGTGCTCCTGTTTATAGTGTGAATACAGTCTGCAAATCATTAATGCCTATGACAGAAAATGATAGACTTGTGCAATTTGTTTTGTAAAGAATCACATTTTGTCAGTATTTTTGAAAACAAAAAGGAATAGATCAGTTTCAAAGGTAATCGATTGATTTCAGATCCATTTATTTTGATAAGGATAGAAAATTAGTCAGTTATCTACTAAACTAATGAATAAAAAAGCTTTTCTTAATTTAGATTTTTCAGCAACTTAGCACATACGTCTTTAAAGAAACAAAAACAGAGAAATGAAAGGCTGTGCATATGTTAAAAAGAAGAAATGGCTCATATTTAAATTTTCTGGAAATCTTTTACTTTCCTGTGTATGAATTGGCTAACCTCACCACCACAACTAGCCACAACTCACAGCTTTATTATCGAAATAATAAGCACGTTGCTAAAGAGGTTTTACAGCCCCAAAAACAATCACCCTTCGGACAGATGTTTTCTCCTTTTCCCTTTGATTTGTCTGAAAATCTCACCTCAACTAATCTTCTAGCAGATGTGGTTAAGACAAATTTTCCAAAAAAATAAAATATAATAAAAAAAAATCTAGTGTTGTGTAAGGCTCTCACGAGAAAATGTTCCTTTAGGTGATCTGACAAACAGGTTTGCATATTGCGTTAGGTCATTGCTACAGAAAGGGTGACACCTACTTAAAAACATCTCTCGTATGAAAAATGTGGGGATTGATATGATTTAGTAATAATATGGTTAGTTTTCCTACAAACACTGTTGGAGTTTATTCACATTAAATTGTAAACCTACCAACTCTATTGCTTTATTTTGCCTTAGGTTAATCAGGCTGTTATAGTCCAGAGCTCTGGAAAGACCTGCTTGGCTCTTCCCAGAGCTCTCTCAGACAGAGGACCACTGCTGTTGGGATCTTACTTCGGTTTCTCTTTCCCTCACATTGGTTACATTTCCTCTCTTGACTGTGAACCAAATGAAAATTTTTGGGGGGCCAAACCGTGAACTGAACAAGGTGGAGGTCCAGAATTAATTTCATATGGTTTAGCTGACCACATTTTTTTCGCTGTGTAGAAGTCTCGAAAATACAGAATAATGAAAACATTTGACACATTCTTGTTTACAGTATCCATAAGACTACAATGACAGTTTGCATGGATGGACCTTTACAGACTGGGAGCGGTTCGTGATTAAATGAATTGAAGATGGATTCCAGTTTTCCCACATTACAGGACTTGAACATATGAAGCTTTAATAGTGTCGTATTCTGGAGCCATTCTATCCACATCTTGTCTTCTACTGAGTGGAGATTTCTGTATGAGAATCGACAATAGGAGTCAAAGCAGGCAAAAACACCAAGGCATTTAGTTATGGTCTACAAGTCTCTCTAAGTCAGGGCAGGACTGGGAATAAAAAGTAGCCCTGGATGAAAGTGTGCCTGCTTTATAAAACACCACTCCAGAATACTGTGCAGATCTACAGGTAAAAAAAATCACCTTCAAATAAAAATACTGAAAGTACTGCTTTAGTTTAAGCTGATATGCTATTTTAAAGTAAAGAAGTTATTTTGTTTACTGTTAAAGGACCACTATAGTGCCAGGAAAACAACCTCAAGGACCCCCTCCCGCCAGGCTCTGGGGAGAGGAAGGGGTTAAACACTCACCTTTCTCCAGTGCCGTGAGGGGAGCTGTCCGCCTCCGATCCTCCCATTCGGCTAAATGCAAACGCACGGCAAGAGCTGCGCACGCATTCAGCAGGTCTCATAGGAAAGCATTTACAATGCTTTCCTATGGACGCTTGCGTGTTCTCAGTGTGATTTTCACAGTGAGAATCACGCAAGCGCCTCTAGCGGCTGTCAATGAGACAGCCACTAGAGGAATTGGAGGCTGGATTAACCCATTTACAAACATAGCAGTTTCTCTGAAACTGCAATGTTTATAAAAAAAATGGGTTAAACCTAGCTGGACCTGGCACCCAGACCACTTCATTAAGCTGAAGTGGTCTGGGTGCCTAGAGTGGTCCTTTAAGTCCTATGAGTTAGGACCTAGCTCAGTAAATCTAAATCCCTTTTATTGCTCTCGGGCTTAAAGGGACACTATAGTCACCCAGATCATTTCAGCAAACTGAGGTAGTATGGGTGCAGTGTCCATGTTCTCTTAGCCCTGCAATGTTTTGGAGAAACTGGAATAATTACATTGCAGGATTAAGACACCCTGTAGTGGTTATCAATCAGACTGCCACTAGAGGCACTTCCTGTTAGCTAACCGACATGAGGACATCCAGCGTTAGTTAAATACCCATTGAAATGGGAATGGCGTTGACTCTGGAATTGGTTAAAAAACCCTTTAGCCACTTACCCAATTCCAGCAACAATGTCCCTTGGTGCTGAGTCGACACTCGGCCTCCTCTGATGTCGTCCGGCAAGGGTTGGCTAATGCGTATGTGTGGCAATCTCCCTGATGAGTTTGCTTATGACCCTTTGTGCACTGGGAGGCACGGCAGGGACCACAGGGCTCTATAGTGTATGGAATACAACTTTGTATTCCTTACACTATAGAATCCCTTTAAGTAGTCGAGGAAGGGAGTGGTGCCCGGTGGATGTCACATAAAAAGTCCAAACATTCACTCCAGGGGTCCCGGCCGCCCTGCTGACGCCTGCCACCCGGTACCAGGCCTGCTTCCACATTTTGTGGCCCCGCATATGGATGGATCCATCGGGTGGCCCATGCTGTCAGGGCCACCTGATCGATATGGATTGTAAGGGGGCCCGGTCAGCGCTGGGCGCTTTAAGTGCGCGACTGGGCCCCCTGTGATAACATCACACGCTGGGAGGAAGTGATTCCCCGGTCACTACTCCCAGGGCCGTCTATAATATGATTAGGACCCTGCGTAATGCATTTTCTTGGGCCCCATGGGCCCTGTCCCTGCCACTGCCTCACCCCCCAATTACGTCCAACCCGCAATCACACTGACAGACGTACTGGCACATACACACACAGACAGACATTAAAACATTCACAGATACATACTGACACACACAGTCACTACACACAAATATATACTGGCAGATATACTGACACACACACAGACATACATACATACATTCATACACAGACACATACATTAACAGATATACTGACACACACAAACACATACACTGACAGATATACTAAAACACACAGACACATACACTGACAGACACATTGACACACACACACAGGCATACTGACATACACACTGACACACACACACAGGCATACTGACATATACACAGACAGACGTAATGGTTGATACAGACAGACATTAAAACATTCACAGATATATACTGACACACACATACACTGACATACAAATATATCCTGGCAGACATACTGACACACAGACATACATACATACACACACAGACACATACACTGACAGACATACTGACTGACACACACATACACACACACACAGACATACTTACTTACATACACACACAGACACAGACATACTTACTTACATGCACACACAGACATACTGACACACACACACATACATACTGACATACACACAGACAGACGTACTGGCACATACACACAGACAGACATTAAAACATTCACAGATACATACTGACACACACATACACTGACACACAAATATATCCTGGCAGACATACTGACACACACGTACACACACACACACAGAGACATACCTACATACACACACACAGACATACTGACACATACACACACAGATATAAACACACAGACAGACATACTGACACACACACACACACACAGATATACACACAGACAGACATACTGACACACACACACAGAGACATACTGACACACAGACAGACCTACTGACATACATTTAGCCACCCTCCAGGTTCTTACCTTTTCCTGGAGGGTGGTTTCCCTGGTCCAGTGGCAGGCTGAGGCAGATGGGAGTTCTCCTCTGGAACTCCCCTCCTCCCTGCCTTCCTCCTCCCGCGCGGCCATTATCTCCGGTGGGAGGAAGTGACGTCACTTCCTCCCAGCCGGGTGCAGAACCGGAAGAGGGGCCCGGTCGCGCTGTTTAAGCGCCACAGCACCCGACTGGGCCCTGCTGACACATGCTCCACGGGTGGCCCTTAGTGCATGGGCCACCCGGGGAGCCTCCTCAGTGTGCGGGAGCCACACCGCCCGGTCCATAGGGGCTGCGCAAATCACGGGGCCCACAGAGCAACTGCTCTGGGCCCCCAGGAGCAACTGGGCCCGGGGCAGCTGCCCCGTTTGCCCCGCGTTAAAGACGGCCCTGACTACTCCCAGCATACTGAGAGCCCGCACGGGAGGAAGGAGGAGGAGGAGAGAGTCAGAGTGGGAACTTTGACTCCCATCAGGCTGAGCCACCAATGGACCCCAGGGAAAGTAACAAGGTAGGAAACATTTTCTATATGTGTGTGTGTCTGTGTTTCTATATGTGTGTGTCTGTTTCTCTGTATGTGTGTCTGTCTCTTGGTATGTATGTGTGTGTCTCTGCGTGTGTGTGTCTCTGTGTGTGTGTCTGTGTCTCTGTATGTGTGTGTGTGTCACTGTATGTGTATGTGTGTCTCTGTCTGTGTGTGTGCCTATGTCTCTGTATGTGTGTGTGTGTGTCTCTGTATGTGTATATGTGTCTCTCTGTACATGTATCTGTGTCTCTCTGTATGTGTGTCTTTGTCTCTGTGTGTGTCTGTGTCTCTGTATGTGTGTGTCTGTGTCTCTGTGTGTATGTATGTATGTGTCTCTGCATGTGTGTCACTGTATGTGTATGTGTGTGTGTCTCTGTGTGTGTGTCTCTGTATTTGTGTCTCTCTGTATGTGTGTCTGTGTGTGTCTGTGTCTCTGTATGTGTCTGTGTCTCTGTCTGTGTCTCTGTGTGTGTCTGTGTCTCTATATGTACGTGTGTCTATCTATGCAGTGGCATACACACAATCCATGGGGCCCCATATGTAGGTGTGTGTGTGTCTCTGTGTGTGTGTCTGTGTCTCTGTATGTGTGTGTGTTTGTGTCTATGTGTTTATGTGTCTGTTGAGGGGTGCATGTATGTGTGTGTGTGTCTGTATGTGTCGGGGGTGGGTCGGGGCACGGATCGGGGGGGGGCCCACAGATCAGTTTTGCACCTGGGCCCCATGGATTGTGTGTACGCCACTGGTTTGACTACTTACAATGGGGGAGAAGAGGGTACATATAACACCTTAATTACTAGAGCTATGATGCTTGGTGTATTCCATTAAGAATGTGGTGCATAAATAATTAATAAGTAGTAAGTAGTTACCTTTAGTGGTTGTGAGACAGTGGAGTAAACCATATCTGACTCCTTTTTCTTGTGCAACACCTGGAGATAAAAGGAGGATCATTCCGTTATGAGATGGTAGATCTATACAGTTCACTTTCGGAAACAATCAAGACTTTAGTGTATATTCACTAAATTTAGAATTGTGTTGAATTGACATGAAAATTGCATGCTTTATGGCAAAATATATAGAAAGTGTCATTTTTCCAACATCGACCTAAAATTTGCACTAAATTTTCAATGTACACACATTTGGCCAGCCAGAGTGAATCATGCGTATTTATGGTTTTAAGGTAAAAACTAGCTTTGCGGTCACAATGCAATCACACACAGGAACTGTCATGTACAAGACTTTGAAGTCCCATTTCAATCACTATCACAATCTGTTCCTTAGCAGTAGACATGTGCAATTCGTTTCGGTCCGAATATGAATTTGGACGAATTTCGGGCAATTCGGACATTCGCGTACTTCCGAATGTCCGAATTGCCGAAGTACCGAGGTCCCGAAGTTCAGAAATTACAGAATTTCCGACGTGTCGAAGTGCCGAAGTTCCAAAGTGCTGAAGTGCCGAAGTTCCGAAGTGTCAAAGTGCGAAGTTCCGAAGCACAATATTGCCTAAGTTCTAATATACTTACCCAGGGAAAGAAGGAGAATGTTACATTGTATACAATTTTAAATAAAAAGTATACAAACATAGCCAGGATTCAGCTGTAAGCATTTGCAACACTTACAACAATCAAGTAACACACATTCAAATAAAATGTAAGTTACTTAGCCAGTCATGTAACGACAGGAATAAATAAGTAGATAACTCCCTAATCTCTAACGGGAGAACTCCATTAAAAAGGCCGAAAGACCCAAATTGTTTTCAGACAATTTACCAATACTGGGCAAAAGATCACTTAGTATTAGAATTATGCCCTACCACATAACAAGAATTTAGGGCATGTCTTATTAAACAGTGAGCCCGAGGCCGCCTCAAAAAAAGTCCCCCCTCCCTATTGCCCCCTGGCCCCCACCCCTGAGTGGCGGGTGGGGGTCCAGATGTAAAATAATGGGGGGACGGGACCTAATGTCCTCCCCCCGGGCCCCCACCCCTGAGCGGTGGGTGGGGGCCCTAAATCAGAATAAGGGGGGGGACCTAATTATGTTTTTTTATTTGGCCTTTTTTGGGGATGAAAAAAGAAGATTTTTAGAAGAAAGAAAACATCAAATGGTAAGTTTTATTTATTTTTTTACAGGTACTTAAAGGTCCCCACCTCATTATTTTTAGGGTGAGGGGGGTAGGTAGGGGGATAATTTTTTTTTGGGGTAGGGGGTGACTAGAGGTTTGGGGACCCCTAGTCACCTGGGGGGGCATTTGTTTTAGGGCCCCCACCAGCCGCTCAGGGGTGGGGGCCGGGGGGAGGACAATAGGTCCCCCCCTTATTAGTATTTAGGGCCGCCACCCACTGCTCAGGGGTAGGGGCCAGGGGGGAGGACATTAGGTCCCTCCCCCTTATTCCAATTTAGGGCACCCACCCGCAGCTCAGGGGTTGGGGCCAGGGGGGAGGACAATAGGTCCCCCCCATCATTTTACTTTAGGGCCCCCACCCACCACTCAGGGGTGGGGGCCGGGGAGGCAATAGGTCCCCCCTTTAGTTTAAAAGCCCCCACTCGCGCGTCGTGGGTGGGGGCTCGGGCGGGGGGACCCTATTTTTTTTTTTTAATAGACATGCCCCTACTCACTGTTTAATAGACATGCCCCTACTCGTGGTATAGCGAGTAGGGGCAAACTTTACTAATTTAACATAAACAAAGCCAAAATGGAGAAGTTATGTGTGAACAACTAAAATTTACTGTTTAACATAAACAAAGCCAAAATGGAGAAGTTATGTGTGAATAACTAAGCACACATAACTTCTCCGTTTTGGCTTTGTTTGTGTTAATTAAATTGCGACACAATGTAATATGTCATATGTTGTTATTCATCTGAGGTTTGTGACAGTAAAATTAGAAAAAGACTGAACAAGTATGGTTTGTTTGGAAGGGTTGCCAGGGGAAAGATTCTTCTCTCTACAAACAACATAGCAGAACGGCTTAGTTTACAAAGTTGCATCTGAACAAACCACAAGCCTTCTGGAACAGTATCCTTTGGAAAGATGAAACCAAAGTAGAGATGTTTGGCCATAATGCACAACACCACATTTGGTGAAAACCACACAGAGCATATCCGCTCAAACACCTCATACCAACTGTCAAGCACTGTGGTAGAGAGTTGATGATTTCTGCAGCCACAGGACCCAGGAAATTTGCAGTCAATGAGTCGACCATAAACTCCTCTGTATACCCTAGGTATTCTAGAGTGAAATGTGGGGTCATCTTTTTTTCGACAATGCAAAATTGGCCGAAATTGGGTCATACAACAGGACCATGATTCCAAGCACACCAGCAAATCTACAACAGAATGGCTGAAAAAGAAAAGAATCAAGGTGTTGCAATGGCCAAGTCAAAGTCCAGACCTGAACTCGGTTGAAGTGCTGTGGCGGTACTTTAAGAGAGGTGTGTATAAACAAATGCAAGCAAACTTCAATGTAGTGGTTCAACTTCAGAGTGGTCCAAAATTCCTCCTCATTGATGTGAGAGACTGAGTCATACAGATAACCATTACTACAAGTTATTGCTGCTAAAGGTGATTCTACACGCTAACGAATCATAAGGTGTACTGTTTTTCACACACGAAGTCTCCATTTTGGCTTTATTTTTGTTAAATAAATCATTAACTGGTGTAAGGTGTCATGTGCTGTTATTCATCTGAGGTTGTATATACCTAATTTTAAGAACTGCTGAGGAACAGATGATTGTTATTATGTCCTGATATGTCAAACCGTAGAATTCAAAGAGGGTGTACTTTCTTTTTCCCATGCCTGTATGTATGTATATATATATATATATATATATATATTATTATCAGCAAATCTATGCATTTTTCTGGTGTTCCACTAGCACGACAAACAGAATAAAATGTGACGCTAATGAGTCTTCAAAATGTCAAAATTGCTACAAACAATGGCATATTCCATACCTTGAGATTTTTTATTTCACAGTAATAATCATCCGATGGCTGAAAACGCCTTGTCTCTTTCCCACTTATTGGACTTTTTGGTTTCTTTCTGCGAACAGAGATTGATATCAAGTGACTTCCTGTGACAATTTCCACAGCGATATCTGTGTTGTATGTAAGCTATGCAGCAGTTACATTATTTAAAATACTAAAAGGATACTTCCCGGGCTATTAGGTTCACTTAACCCTAAATGTAACAATTATGTGTTTCTGAGGACTGAAAAACAAAATTTCATATAGAAACTAAATGCCTCCATCTTGGCTCCGTGTTAATCATTGTTATAGGCTCCGCCCTTTGCACCTGTTGGTCAGGCCTTCCTAGAACTTCCACAAATATCTGCATGGAGGTGAAGATAATTAAAAGGACACTACACTGACCAAATAAAAATACATAAATCACTATTTAGTAGATATATCCACAATAAAAACATGCATAGATTTAATTATGCATTTTTTCTCATTGGGGTTTATCTAAAAAAACAACTTGCAAAAGCTGCAGATCCCTTTCCTCCAGCCTTTGCTAGCCCTCCCTTTGTAGCCCCACCCAGACTTTCGGTGGCTGTCCAATCACAGACTTCCAAATGTAGCTCAGTGAGAAGTCTTTGCTAGGCAAGTGCTCTGGGAAATTGCTGCATCTTGAGTATAGCTCCACTGAGCTAACCAAACCAGGAAGTAATGGGACCCATTGCCTGATTGACATTCAGGGGGGTGTAACAAGTCTAACTTATAAAAGTGTCAATTTCTATTGAAAACTGCCCTTTATGTAGAGTTGAAAAAAAATAGACACACGCTCCAGCAGGACGTGTTTAGGTGTTTGGAGTGTCCCTTTAATGGCCCGGAGAAAAACATAGCAAGCAGAAGATGAGAGACAGAAATGATAAGGTAGAATTATCAATGTGCTGTGTTCTGAAAAATGGTACAAAGTGGGGAAGTCACCATGGAAACAAGTGGAACCATCAGGCACATTCCATTGTGACTCCACTCCTTTTAGTATTAAGCACCACATTTCAGAACATAACACTTTGCTATATCTCCCCATTGTGTTTCTCCTTCTCCAATGTAATGTGAACTGTCTGAAAGCACTTCTGAAAGTCTGCTACTGATGCAATATAAACACATTTCAGACTATATGGTCTGACCACAATGCAGTATTTTGGTCGATTAAGGACAGGAAGGAATATAATATAAACAGACAACGGAGATTAAATGAGTAACTCCTAATAAAAGAAGAACATTTAGCATATATAAAGTAGATGACAGAATTATATTTCAATGAAAATACAAATTCTGTTAATTCCAAAGCAGCTTTATGGTGCGCTTTTAAAAGAGCGTGAAGAAGGTATTTAATAAAAAATTGGAGCACCAGCCAATAAACAAAAAGGGGACAATATTAATTCGTTATATATTAACCTTTAAAACTTAAAAAAAGAAAATATGTGAAATCCAATACCTAATGGATCTAATGATATAATTAATCTCCAAAAAAGGTGAAAGAAGAAGAAATTAAAAAGTTTAGTTGGTAATTAGAAAAGTTAAAACAGGCTTGCTACCGTAAAAATAATAAAGCAGATAAAATGATATCAAACCAACTAAAACAAACAAACAGGCAAATAATCATATATACAAAATTGTTGATGACGACGGTCATATCCAGGGCCGTCCTTAGAGGTGTGCGAGCTGTGCGACCACACAGGGCGCCTTGGAGCAGGGGGCACCCTGACAGCCGACACAGCTCACACATGGCCGGCTGCCGGGGTGGAGGATTTCCTTATTCTCCACCGGGATTAAAAAAAAACAACAAAAGCATTGCGGTAGGGGTGGGGCTTAGCGTGTGTGGGGTGGGGCTAAATGATGGCGGGGCGGGGCTAGAAGTGCCGGACCTGGCAATTGCTGCATGTGAAGCAGGAAAGAGTCCCTGCTTCCCCAACAAGCAGAATCCAGAAGCTGCACTACTTCCATCTCCATAATGAAGGCAACAGTGTGTGCTTGTCTGCCTGTGTGTGACTGTTTGCCTGTGTGTGTGTGACTGTCTGCCTGTGTGTGACTGCCTGTGTATGTGTGTGTGACTGCCTGTGTGTGTGTGTGTGTGACTGCCTGTGTGTGTGTGTATGTGTGTGACTGTCTGCCTGTGTGTGACTGCCTGTGTGTGTGCTTGTCTGCCTGTGTGTGACTGTTTGCCTGTGTGTGTGTGACTGTCTGCCTGTGTGTGACTGCCTGTGTATGTGTGTGTGACTGCCTGTGTGTGTGTGTGTGTGACTGCCTGTGTGTGTGTGTATGTGTGTGACTGTCTGCCTGTGTGTGACTGCCTGTGTGTGTGACTGTCTGCCTGTGTGTGACTGTTTGCCTGTGTGTGTGTGTGTGTGTGTGTGATTTTCTGCCTGTGTCTGTGTGTGTGACTGTCTGCCTGTGTGTATGTGGCTGTCTGCATGTAACGGAGTGTGTGTTACACTGGCTGGCTGTATGTACGTGACTGTCCATCTGTTTGTGTGTGTTTGTAATTGTCTGCCTGTAACTGTGTGTGTGACTGTCTGCCTGTAACTCTGTGTGTGTAATGAATATTTATTTTTAAATCAATATTTATTTAATAAATCCCCTTTACAATTGCTACATTTCTATACACAAACTATACATGGATGACAGTGGAGGGGGGGGCACTGCGAATATGTTTTGCACAGGGCACCTAAAGGCCTAAGGCTGGCCCTGGTCATATCCATATGTCACCAAAAGACATAGGTACAGTTTTTAATAAGTATTATAGTCAACTATGCAACAGATCCATCAGTATAAGATCAGGAAAAATAACAAATACCTGGATAAAATTCAGATTTACAGAATTTCTAACATTAAAAAAAAAGAGCTGAATAATCCAATCAATGAAGAAGAAGTGATGTGGACCATAGATAATATAAAAAACAAAAAGCACCTTGCCCAGATGGGTTTAGTGGAATATTTTACAAAGTCATGAAAGATAACATCAGTGGCCATCTGTCAATGGCATCTAATGAAATTTAAGAAAAAGGCCACTCCCCAGAAGAATTTTAAAGGGCTAATATCTTACCTATATTAAAAGATAAGAAAAATACAGAGAAATACAGACCAATTTCTCTCATTAACTCAGAGACTGAAACAGATACTCCCAGATATACACACCGAGATCAAATAGGATTTATATCAGGAAGAATATCCTATAATAACATCAGAAGACTAATTAATCAATTAGACAAGGCAGAGAGAGATAAGCAATCATTTTAAACAATATCAATAGACGCAGAAAAAAACGTTTGATTGGGTAGACTGGGGGTATCTGTTTCAGTCTCTTAGTAATTTTGGATTCAATGGTTTTATGTTCAGCTCTATCAAATCATTGTATTCATGTCCAACAGCAAGAGCGGTGGGCCAAAATATCCTAGCCGATTGGTTCCTAATAAGCAATGGTACAAGACAGGGGTGCCCTTTGTCACCCCTGTTATACATAGTATCAATTGAATCATTAGCTTCAGAAATAACAGATAGTTTTTAGACATGTGCAACTAGTTTCGTTCCGAATGTACATTCAAATGCTTACGAATGCTTACGAATGTCCGAATTGCTGGTAATCAATGGTTAATCCTTTGAGACAACAGAGTATCAGGAGCAATTTACTTAGTTGCTAATGAATGCAGCTAATTGCATCTTTTTGAAATGTATTGATCATGCGCTAAATGTGCTATTTATACGCATTTAACTCTGCTAATTCTCATTGCATGCTCAGTATGTAAAAGTCCAATTTACCAATCACTGCTCTCTCCCTAATATTAAAAATACTTGTGTCAAGAAGGCTCTTACTATTTAATTTTCTATCTGTGCCCCTTATCAACGTGTCACACACCAGTGACACATAGTTCAGCTTTTCACACAAAAAGCCATTAAGTAGGTTATTGTGCACATCAATCCAGTTATACATAATTAACCACTCCAAACATACAATCCACTTATTAAGTGCCCACTTACTACTTCTATTGCACTAGGTGCCTGTCTACCATTGTATCTTTACAGTTATTCCATCTGTATTTGTACCACCATCCGTTACCCTGAACCAAGATACCCCACCCACTATGTATGCATATATTTCTCTTTAATAAATTAAGACTGTCTAGATTTAATAGATAAAATATCACATTAGAAGTAAAGATATAACCTTGGACAATACTAATCAAAAGAAGAAAAGAGAAAGAAAAGGAAGAATAGAGGAAATTAAGAGAAAATGTTAGAAAGACCCATACCCCGTTAGTAAGCCCTGAGCAAAATGTTTGTATGTAATGTTACATGTATGTAATAAATGGAAAAGTATGTATTAATAAATATATTTTGATACTTTTTCAATACAAAAAAAATATATATATATATTTTTAAAATAAACACTTTTCATCATTTCTGCACTTTTTTTTGCCTTAAACTATATTCTGATATTTGTGATATTGGTAATAATTACCTATTTCTACACGTAGAGGTGAATTCAAGCTGCGTAAATTGAGGAAGAAGTCTAGAACTCATTCTCTCTCAAAGTAAATATTAACTGCCTCTCTGTAAAACAAACATCTTTTACATGATAGTCTCTAAAGCTAAAGTGTGCTTTAGGACAAATGATATCTGTACTCTCCAGGGATCACGAGGAATTCTCGTAAAATCCTATTTATTTTCCAGATACCAGCAGCCCGCTGGTTACATAATTTGTTGCTCAATGTTTTCTGGGGAATCACCCAGTGTTGCTCAAATTGTAGTCAGACTCACAAGCCTACTCTTACGAGTCAGACTTACCACACGTGGATCTAAGGGGCAGTTTCTGATAAAGACAGTTCCACATTCTATTATCCCAATAAATTCCAAGTATTTGATGGTTTCGGTTTATGGATGAGGTAAGTATAAAACAGTCAACGGTGAGCCAAGGGTCAGTGGAAACTGGGTGTAAGATTTTTTTTTTTTGTGCCTTGTTGATCTGGACAAATTTGCCCCTACCTTTCTATATGTCCTAACCTTTCCTTGACAGGTGGATGTGCATAAGAAATGCGGCCACTAAGAATGATGGTTTTAAATGGCACTTAAGATATATTTGAACAAGATATCCATAATGCTTAGGGTTTGCTGAACATAGTGAGAATGGAATCCACAAACCTATCTAATCCATAAAATATGAAACGTTCTGCCCCCACCATACCTCTGTCCGCTATGTGTATAGGTACGTGAGAGACACCATATGTATGAGTAACTGCATGTGTGATCTGTGGCTGTGGACATATGGGTAATGTGTGCTTGTGACAGGGGTTAGGTGATTGTATGTGGTCATGTGAATGTGGAGAATGTGACCGAGCTGGTGAGGGTAGATGGGAGTATGGGAACGGGTTGCAGTATGTAATCAGATGGGTAACAGGGAATTGCAGTGTTATCCACTAAACTCGAAATTGTTGGGAATTGAACAAAAAATTATACGTTTTAGGTCAAAATAAACAAGCGAGAAATTTTGCTATTGTGGCCCAAAATATGAACTTCACTGACTGTCCAGCTTAGTGAATAGCTGTAGGCTGGGATATGAGACTTAATGAGTAAATGTAAGTGAGTAGGTTGTGTAACTGAATGGTTGTATGTCAGTAGGTGGGGTACCACACTTAATTTGTGACTTAGATAACTGAATGCGACTAAACTGGGGTACGTGATAAGTAAGGTAAATCTGGCTTGTTTGTGGTATTCTATTGAATAGTGAAGGTGACTGGGTAAGTCGGTATGAGAATCTGACATGGTGGGTTGGTATGACTAGGTGGGTGGTTGGATGGCGGTATGTGAAGAGTGCGAGTGGAACAGGTGGCATGGTCTGTGGAGGAGTGTTTGTGACAGGGTGACTGTGTAAATAATGATTATAATTTGGGCTCCCAGTTTAAGCACAGAAATCCCATGACAAGACTAGAACATGGTTTATTTACTAAACAGTAAACTGAAAATATGCAAATTCTAAGCTACATTCTGAAGATATTCCAACCCAGCTGTTTTAATCTAATGTTTGCAAATACAAATGTCAGCACATATCTCCGTTTATTGAATAACTGCCTGATATAAAAAACAAAATGAATTATTTCTCCTCAATGTGAATCAATGCTCACCCAGAATGGTATTTTCTCTTTTTGTAAAACCATATCAGTATTGCGCATACTGCACTTAGCACCACAAGAGACGGGATCACTGAGATCCAAATATACCAAAGGTTTCTTTTTTCTGAAACAGAAATTAAAGAGACTTTATGCAATAAATAAAAAAAGCAAGGAAAAAACTGATTAATTACGTTTCAAGGTGAGTAGCCATCTGCTGATTGACCAATAACAGATGTGATCAGTTCATCATAAGTACAAATGTGCTTACACAGAGTATATTATACATATATATGATGCCTGTATATGTCATGGATTAATTGCTTTTAAAAATGAGTAAACCCAACTTGAAGCAAGTTATAACCTCAAAAATGCAAAAATAACAGCAAAAATTAAAAACCCAAAATTTGATTTAAGACTTTAAAATGTGAACAAAACGCGGCACTGCACCAATCATCATCTCCTCGTAGAGATACTTTTAACATATGCTTCTCTGCGTGGAACATTGTGGAGACCCTGAACGTAGGTGTTGCACACTGTGCAGCAGAGCACTAGGAAGCACCTGAAAGGGCTGGCGTTTCAAAGGTCAATAGGGGACACTGGCATTAACCATGTTTCTCTCTAAAAAAAAAATTTTCTAAATTGTTTTTATTGTATGACTCAGATGGGCAGACCCTAAGTATAGGGTTTACGGTTTTAATAACAATAAATGTCTTTAATTGGAGCTATTTCATTTTGTCTCTAATTTTTCCCATTCAAAATCCAGATTTTCAAGAATAGCGAATGTAGGACATGACAAATCCCAGGAGCATGGTCAGCATAGCGACTAGGAGTTTTGTCTGTTTTACTCTAACACTTGCTCCTCAGATGCATCAGTCTGTAGGCATTCCTTCTTCCTACGACTAATAGGGTTAGAATATGCAAAATAGGATCTGGACTTCACATGAAGCAAAAAAGCACCACAATCCGATTGGATATTTGAAAACAAATAAATCATACTTTTATTGACATAATAAACATGGCTGAAACAAGTAGTAGGGAGCACTGAATCAATGCACTCAAACGTTTCATGCCTGAACTGCACTTCTTCAGATGTCTCGGGTGAAGTGCTGTTAAGGCGCGAAACGCGTTGGTGCTTTATTCCAGATTCTATTTTGCATATTCTGAGCACTGGTGGAACCTGCAAACACCACTTACAGGATTCGAGGTACAAGCCTATGTATGGCACTTTATTACTTAGATTAATTGTATACCAATATCGGGCTGATTTCTATATTTTTCTTAGATATATAGGGTTACGCAATCAAATGCAGATATTCTGGGGACCTGAAAGACTGCAACCTAACCTAATGCAAGGGTCAAACAAACTGTTGGTCACCGCGTATTAACCTTGATTTAATAAGCTTTCCAAATGATTCAACGCCGTTAAAATTATTTTTTTTTCCCCCGTGATTTATCTACAGAAAATCCCTTTGTCTTTAATGGTGACTTATAGATCATAAGATCTTTAGATCATTTGGGAAGTTTTTCTAACAGTATTGAATCATGTGGAAAGCATATTAGCTGGCTTGAGCAGTGCACTCAACAACCCCTGTTCTTGTGCGTCCAACTTGTCTTGTTGCAAATACTTGTCTGTTCTGTTTGTCCACTAATTGTACAGAGCTCCAGAATTTGTTGGTGCTTTACAAATAATGATAATAATTATTAAATCAAGGCTTTTGTGTGAAACCATTCTTAGGGGAAGATGAATTGTATTGTATATACACGAGATTAAGGGAATTAATGGCTGCTTAGCATTCTATGTAAAGGATGTCTGGGTGTTAAAGGTCAATATACACTTCACAGACATTGACACACTTCAGACATTACATTCATGCATTCTCACACTACATGTATTGACACTATATAGCTTAACTGACATTACATTCATTATTATTATTATTACTATTATTATTATTTATGTTAATTTTTAGGATGACACAGTTGCAGGAGAGGAAAAAAGGTGAGTCATCAAGGTGCAGAGAGGGAACGCTATTAACAGTTTAATTGCAATGCTTTCTTAAAGAAGTGAGTGTTTCTTGATCTCTTGAAGGGATAGAGACTGGGTGGGAGTCTAACGCAGCAAGGAAAGTAGCTCCATAGGAACAGTGTGGCCCTAGAGAAGAAGGGTGGGCATCAGAGGTAGAAGTATGAACAGATAGACGGAAGTCTTAAGCAGAGCGAAACGTAAAGGAGAAGAGACGAGTAGCTCTGTTTTGGACAGGTTGTACTTAAGGAAATAAGCAGCCATCCAGTTAGAAAAAGCAGAGAAGAAGTTAGAGACACAATTTAAGAGGGACGGCAAGAGTTTAGGAGAGGACAAATAGATTTGCACCTTATCTGCAGAGAAGTGATATTGGAATTCAAAGGAGTTGATTAGTTTACCAAGGGAGGCAGCATAGATCGAGAACAATAGGGGATGAATGACAGAATCTTGAGGAACACAGACAGAGAGGGGTTGGGAGAAGAGGAAGAGATAGAAAAAGAAACACTGAAAGAGTGCTGGGAGAGGTAGGAGGAGCACCACTATATAGCAGAGTCTCATAGACTGATCTTATGGAGGATGAGAAGAAGTTGTTGATGATCAACAGAGTCAAAAGCAGCAGGAAAGTCAAGGAGTATTAAAAGAGAATAGTGACCACTGGGTTTAGCAGCAATTAAATCATGGGATACTTTGGTCAGGACATTGAACATTTTAGTGATGGGCAGAAAAGAGAAGAAGACAGAGTGTGAGTGAGATGTTAGGGGATAGGATTGAGGACAGGTGGTGGGGTGGAAGGACTGTAGCAGAGAAAAAACCTATACTGGCGGGTGCAAGTGAGCATACAACAGAGGAGAGAGTGGGATTGGGGAAGGTATTGGTACGGGTAGGAGAGAGATTAAAGACCTCTTTCCTGATCGCGGAAATCTTCTTAGTGAAGTGAATTGCAAAGTTTGTAGTGGTCAGGAAGAGGAAGAGCAGCAACAGGGTGAAGTAGTAAATTGTGAAATAGCATTTGGTTTTCTGGAGAGTGGGGTTTTGAGGGTATTTAAGTATGTTTTCTTTCCAGAGAAAAGAGCCAAACTGTACGAGCGTAACATGAATTTATAGTGGAGGAAGTAGGTCGCAGAATTAGACTTTCACCAGCAGCTTTCAGCAGCTCTGGAGTATTTTTGGTGGTATCTGGTCTGTTAAAGGTTAGCAGATGGTGGTCAGATAGAAAGAAACATTGGACAGGGATTGGGTAAGATGAGATCAAGAGTGTCCATTCATTCTCACACTACATTCACCCTGCACTGACAGTACATACACATGATACTAATTTCGTACATTCTCAGACTATATGCATTGAAGCATTATAGTCATGCATTCACAGATATTGCTTCTGCAAACTATATATAATCATTAACCCGTTACAGACAAACACTGAACTGCTACAATCAAGCACTTATACATTACATTCATGCATTTACACCTAAATTTACCTATAAATGCACATTTGCCTATACACCCTTCGATGCACATGTGTCCTCACATATTCTACATACAGCACATTCATATGTGATATAAACCATTATACATGCGTACAGTCATTATATATAAAAGTATGCCTGTTTAGATGTTATATCTGCCAGATTTTACTGGTTTATAAATGAGCAGGGAGAGGTTTTTATATATGTCTGTGTCTGCAGTTTATACATTCACTGGGGACAGTTTTGCACATTTAGCTATATTTTTACATAGCCTGCATGGTCATATTGTAATGTGCACACATGGTTTTATTATAAACAGCATTGTCATGCTTCCGTGTGAAAGGAGATAGATCTATGTCTATTTACATGTTCCATTTCTTATATATCATGTGAACGGCTTTATCTGATATTTTGCGAGGTGAGAGAGATGATCAATATATCGGTGCCAGCAGACTTCTGATTTGTAAATCCACCCCTGAACTAACTCACGGTTTAGTAAATAAACCAGAAGCATTTTCTTTCTGATAAACCTAATACTTTAAAAAAGCAACATTTTATCATTTCTTATTCCAGAATCTATTGTGTTGTCTACAACAGTTTCTGTACAGTAAACATTTTTTTCTTTTTAAAACTCAACTGTCACAAGTGAGATTTATATACCAGCTGGTAACTAACTTAAATGTTGCCGCTGGGTTGTGCATTTTTTTATTTTATTATTAAATATAGCAGTTTTTATTTTATACTTTACACAGTATGTATAAACTGCGTCATTAAAAATTCAACATTTCTCTCAGGGTTTCTGATCACACCCAATGCATCATGGGAGGATTATGCCTTGAAAATGGAAGTACAATTGAGGTAAAGTGGTTTTATACTTACATCCATTGCACTACTTGCCTCAAGTGTGTCAATAGCACTTACAAGAGTGAGGGAACGAGAAGTGTTACTTACACTTTAAGTAAAGACGTTTGCCAAGTTAACTGACCCTTGCCATTTTAAGTACCTGTCTCACAGAATGTCTCAGGGATGATGGTTCTGGAAGCTCTGCTGACCAAATTCGTTGCCGTACAGGTATGGCTAACATTTATATTCATATAATTTACTTGAGTTGTGTGATCCATCTCCTCAATCTTTGCCCCATTATAATAGGTCCAGGTAATCGTCACGTCTGGTACATTTACCATACAGGTCAAAGTCACCTCGCAGGGCCCACTTCGACTGGCATTGTAATGAATCTCGATATCGGAGTTTGACAATTTTCCTGCATACAAGATAAATATGAATAATTAGTCCTACTCTACAGACATCACAGGTAAGGGCGAATTGACATCAACCTCAATGATCAGAAAAAAAAACATTGGTGCATGTGCCATTTCCTATTTGTTCTCATAGGGGATAGTTTTTGTTAGAGCCTGTCTTGTTGGTTTTGCTCTGTCAATGTGCGCATGCATCTGCCTTCATGTGAGATTCTTCCCATGAGATTCTCTCTGTATAGTATGTCTGTGAGTGAACCTTCGTGTGTTAGGTATCTTGTTTAATGTGACAAAATATGGGACACAATTTGACAATGTATCAATATATGTCTGGGACAACTTATAGGGCACATGGGTTAATGGGTTATAACATGGGTTAATGTGTCTACATATAGGGCAACAAATACAGGGTGAGAGTGTATATGAAGGCAATAATAGTGGGGCAACTGGCTAACAATGGAGCAATATGACACTGTGAAATCTGTAGCAATATGGGGACAATATGTTGTTGGATAATTGCTTGGGAGAATTAGTGTATGTGGGGCGGCGGGGGTTGTGGCAAATAGAGGGAAATGTATGACATGGAGAGAGATTAGGCATTTAGGAAAAATGGCAAATTGGCAACAATTCTCACTTTAGTGAATAACCAGGTAAAAAAAATTTTTTTAAGTGATTATTTATTGTTAGATGTAGCTTAATTCACATAATATATATATATATATATATATATATATATATATATATATATAAAAACATAATAAAATCATTTAATTACTTACTGTAAAGTGTGACTTTAAAACATTGTATAACATCTGGTTTTTCCTCGAAGAATATATTTGCCATGTAAACCCCCTGGTCTGTACTGATTGATTTAGTAATGGTTAAAGACCCATTGGGCATCCCCTTCAGCCTATTTTTAAGCATTTGAGATTTAATATCAATAGATCTGTCCGTGTTGGTTGTAGCAATGTGTTTTCCACCCATAGTCCATGAGATTTCTTTGAATCCAGACAGTTCCATTAGCACATTAATATCTTCTCCCAATTCTCCTGCAATAGTCTTCGTATTCTCACAGTTTTCCATGGATAGAATTCCTAGTGACAAACAGAAAAGGTTAAATGTATAAAAATAGGGGTTATCCTGCCATTGAAGAAATGGCACAACATAGCGCAAAACTGTATGACCAAATTATAATGAAAGTATGTGCCAATTGGCCACAAGTGCACATTATATTGATGGGCTTTTTAACCACTTGTACACTGTAAGTGCATTCATTAAAGTGTGTGATTTTAACATATAGCAACACTGTACTATGTTTATTTATGTTTTTCATGCATCACTGGATATTCGAACGAGGATGAACATGTAAGAGTCCATACATTATTAATGAGCCTGAATATCTCTTCAATTTTGTGAGTGCAACATTTAAATAAGGGGCCGATTGTTAATTTATATTACTTCTCTATGAGATTTTTCTTTCTCTGTTTGTGTGTTCAGGTATATCTTATTTTTCCTTCTGCGGTAATGTGCAGTACGGGGTATATCACAGAGCTCCAAAGCAATAAAGCTCACAGTAACACACAATTTAATTGATACACATTCAAACAGCCAAAAACGGAGCAATTGAAGTATTTCAGTATATAACGTTCATTAGGTCAGGATGCAAACTAATTTACACATCAACTTATTGAGATACAATAAAAAAATAAAAAAAAATAAAAAATCAGTAAATGTACCTTTCTGAAGATAAAGGACCATTAGAATGAAGAATCCCAAATAAATCATCTCTGCCGTGGTAAATGGAGATTATCTGTATAAAACATTGTTCCTGTTTTCTGACAATGTAGCAGGGTAGCGGGGGAGGGGGGGGGTGGGAGGGTGAGGATGATTGTACCAATGTGATGCTTGCAGTATATATATATATATATGTACACCCCTCACATTTTTGTTAATATATCTTTTCATGTGACAACACTGGAGAAATGACACTCTGCTACAATGTAAAGCAGTAAGTGTACAGCCTGTATAACAGTGTACATGTCCTGTCCCCTCAAAATAACTCAACACACAGCCATTAATGTCTAAACTGTTCGCAAAAAAAGTGAATGATTTCTTGCACATTACACATTTATATATGAAACATAATTGAATATAAATAAAATCTAAAAAAAAATGTGAGAAATTAAAAAATGTTATTTATTATTTATTTATTGTTCTGCAGGGCATGTTAACTCTATGTCATAATACTGTTAGCTTTTACGGCAATAAAACACACATATTTGTGATCAGCGATATCTCATGTACAAGTTTTATTGGGGTTCGGAAAGATACAGGGTGAAATGTAGAGTTTTCCCCCTTTCAGTTTTTACACATTGACATTTGCCAGATCGGTTATGTTGGTTTTGAGACTGTATGGCAGCCCAGGAATGAAAATTAAGCCATCATGGCATACCATTTGCAAAGGTCCAATCTTTTTTAGTAGCCACTTAGTCACAAACCCTGGCCAAAGTTTGTGTTCATATTTGTTTATTTCCTTTTTCACACAAGAAAAATGCACTTTCACTGATGATATATTCATCATTAAATGTTTTACTGTTTTGAAGAACTCTTATTTAAATTCAGCGAAGTCTCATGAGTACAACAATACCCCTCGTGTACAGGTTTTATGGGGTTTGGGAAAGTTACAGGGTAAAATATTGGGTTTGCAAATTAAATTCTCTGGGCATTCTGCCTGGGTTGTTAGGCAGATTCCCCAATATATAATGAATAAAATAATTATATATACATAATATACAAAATGCATTAAGAATCAAATTATGGATATTTATCTATCTATATCAAAAAATGAGAGCACTCACTGGGTTTAAATTCAAAATTGATGTGTATTTAAATTCGCATAGACAATTGTTGTTGTAGCGGACCCCGGGTAACCCGACCGGTTACCTCCGCTAAATTCTTACTTCACCCATTCAGGAACCCTTACAACAAGCAGGCATCCGTTTCCCCCCCATTAACTGGATGAGACCAAGCTCTGGGGGTACAACTCAGCTTTATAATGACAAACTCTGCTTTTATGCATAACCCCTTGCAAGGTCTTCCACACAACCACACAGGGGTTTCCATCCTAGGATCCTCTGTACCTGGGTGCAGGAAAAGGGACCCAGTCTCTTTGTCTCCCAGGTACAGAAAGTCCACCCCACATACAAGGGGTATCCCACACCAAATGACAGAGGTCTTCATCCCAGGATCCTCTGTGCCTGGGAGCCCGGCCACGGGAAAAGGGACCTAGTCTCTTTGTCTCCCAGGTACAGAAAGCCTGCCAAACTGGCCAGTGCCCCAAAAGTGTCCCCACGAACCCCAAGAACCCCCACACCATGTCTTTCCCCGACTGTTCTCCATTCGTGAGGGTCCTGTGCGAGCCCCTGGCCAGGGAAGCATTTCCTTTCGGGATACGAATGCTCCCCCTGGTTGGTGTTCCTCTATACGAAATGGTGGCCACCCAGGGGAGCACTTGTTAATTACTTCCCTTGCGGTTTCGCACTCATGTTGCAGGTGTGAATGTTCTAATTAATTGGGGTGAACATTCTAATGGGGCACTGGGGTGGTCCCCGTTTGGGGGATGGATGGGTTCCATTCGTATGAGTGTTTTCAAATGGGGAAACAGGGCATAGTACATGAAATACCAGGGGAAACACTCAATACAAGGGGAAAACACACAAATAAGCAGTGGTTCTGCCACATGGCTTCCCCTTAACCACAAGCTGGCATACACAGTCTGATCCCAACGGATCGACTTGGGGATGTCCAGGGGAGTACTCACAGATCACTTCTCCAGTTCTGTCTGTCTCGACAACCCGTCGGCATTCCTGTTTTGCTTACCGGTTCCGTAATGGATCGTGAAGTTGTAGGGTTGTAGTGCTAGGCTCCAACATAACAGCTTGGTATTGTCTCCAGAGAGCCGGTTAAGCCACACCAACGGGTTGTGATCTGTGAGTAAGGTGAATTGCTGTCTGCAGATGTAGGGCTGTAGTTTTTTGAGGGCCCACACCACCGCCAGGCACTTCTTCTCGATGGCAGCGTAGCTAACCTCCCTGGGTAGTAGTTTTCTGCTGAGGTAAGCTATGGGATGTTCTCCGCCATCATCCCTGACCTGGCTCATCACTGCTCCTAATCCAAACATAGAAGCATCTGTATGGATGAAAAAACATTTAATTGGATTAGGAGCAGCCAGGACAGGGGCATTTATCAGGGCTTTCTTGAGGGCTTGGAATGTCTGCTCACATTCTTGGGCCAAGTTTACCTGTCTGGGCAGGTTCTTTTGGTCAGGTCGGTGAGGGGCTTATCTAGGGCACTGTAGTTGGGGACGAACTTCCTATAGTAGCCCACAGTCCCTAGGAAAGCTGTCACTTAGGTCTTAGTGCGGAAACAGGGCCAGTGAGCTACTGCCTCAACCTTGGCTGGCTCTGGCTTCTGTTTCCCACACCCTAACCGGTGTCCGCGGTACTGCATTTCTACCATCCCCATTTGGCACTTACTGGGCTTTAACATCAATCCTGCCTCCCTAAATCTGTGTAGTACCGATCCCACGTGTATCAGGTGCTCTTCCCAAGTGTCGCTGTATATGGCGATGTCGTCCAGTTATGCACATGCATAGCAATGGAGGCCATCCAACAGCCGTATCTTCAATAATGGGTATGAGCGTTCCCGAACAGGGAAACAGGGCACATTACACAAAATACCAGGGGAAACACTCAATACAAGGGGAAAACACATGAATAAGCAGTGGTTCTGCCACAGTTGTTTTGACCTGTTGGTCAAAATGTTGATTGTCTATGCAAATATGATGTTTTTCTTACGTTTATATTACCAGCGTTGTGCAATAACCTTGGTCATATTAAGATTTTGTTTGCTTATTTTGGGCAAAGTGCACCATACCATTCAGGTATAATGTTAAATCTTGCTGTCTTGCTAAGGTACATTCCGCGTTGAATAAATACGTTGAAGAGAAAAGGTGTAGAGTTGAGCGGACACCTGGATGTTCGGGTTCGGCGGGTTCGGCCGAACATCAGCAAAAAGTTTGAGTTCGGCCTCGAACGTGACCTGAACTTGACCCCAAACCCGAACCCCATTGAAGTCAATGGGGACCCGAACATTTGGGCACTAAAATGGCTCTTAAAAAGTCCTGGAAAGGGCTAGAGGGGTGCAAAAGGAAGTAAAATGGGGGTAAGAGTAGGACAAGTGCCCTGCAAACAAATGTGATAGGGAAATAACTTAAAATAACATAAAATACATAAAAATTTAAAATAATAATCTTGAACTAGGAGGAGGAGTTGGATGTGGAGTAGAAGATTGAGGAGGCGGTGACTGTGGCGGTGTAGGTGGAAGCGGCGGTTGAAGCAGAGGAGGTAGCCAACACTGTTTTTTATTTTTAGTTGCTTTTTTGGGGGTAGCCCCCAAAATATTGGGAAATATAAAAAAAGAAAACAAAGAAGTGCACTTGAGTATAACAATGGCTGGGTGAGGCCGGTATAAATGTCTATTGTGCACAAGGTACAGACAAGTCTGGTGGGATCCATGCCTGGTTCATTTCAATAAACATGAGCTTGTCCACTTTGGCTGTGGACAGGCGGCTGCGCTTGTCTGTAATAACGCCCCCATGCCGTGCTAAACACATGTTCAGACAATACACTGGCTGCAGGGCAGGCCAGCACCTTCAAGGCATAAAAGGTAAGCTCAGGCTATGTGCCCAGTTTGGAGACCCAGAAGTTGAATGGGGCAGACCCATCAGTCAGTACGTGTAGGCGTGTGCACACGTACTGTGTGGCGGAACCAGCCTCGCCACTGGGCATTGGAGAAGACTGATTGCTAGCCTCCTGCCCTGTGACTATGGCCCCATGTTGAAATACTGGATTTTCCCCTGCAAAGACCCGAAAGCAGGGTCATTCGGTACTTTCCTTATGTGAGCAGTGTTACCCCAGATAGCTATGCCATGGAGCCCATTCGTATAATGAAAGACTATGTGAAAGACTTTGGCTCCATGGCAATTGAACTGTATGTGTGTGCTCTGAGCGCCATTCAGTAATAAATTGCGCTCAGATCTAAGCTATCTGGGGATATGTTGAATGTATCCATTTATGCAATAGCTGCACAGTTATATATTTTTATGTATTTTATTGTATTTTGCTACCATGTGGCTAATGCCTCTGTCCTTGGAGATAATTGGATTACTTCCCAATTATCTCCAGGATAGAAGACTCTGTGGAACTGGTTTTGGGCAGAAAAAACATGCTTCATTTGGTCAAATAGGACTTTCCCTTAACTTTTTAACCCTTGAACCGATTGCCCTGATTTTTGAATATGTGTATATTTCAAGCATGCGAATTCTGAATATGTAATTTTTTTATCAAGATTGGATGTATATTTTTAAAGTTATAGCACAAGTATAAAAACTGTATTTTTCCTGCTTGTGATAATTATGTTAACCCATTGTGTACCATAATTATATCACAGGCAGAGGGGAAGATTTTGTGTATAATTGCTGGGAGTGTTTTCTGTAATGTACGTGTGTTATTGGTTGTTCTGTAAAACCCTGTGGGCAGTACTAAGTTTGTGGATTGGGAATAAAAGAGTCTGTATGTGCCAGTACAGTCAGTTCTGCTTGACCCTCAAAACAAAGTGTTGTCTCGTTACTGGGGGAATCTGCTACAAGGGATTGCTAGGCTAGTCATACTCCCTTGCTATATCACTTCTAAGCTCCTGCTCTCTGGAGGAGTCTACA